GGCTGCCGGGGGCGCTTGGCCGGGTGAGGGCTAAGAGCGCGGGGCTCCCGCCGAGCCCGCTTCCCGGCCGGGCTTCTTCCTGCGGCCCGCGCCCTCCACGTGGCAGCCGCGCCGCGCGCGCCCGAGCCCGGTGACCGCGGAGAGTGCGCGCGCCCCGGCCCGGCATGGCCCCCGCGCTGGCGCAGGCGTACCGCAGGCGCTGGTGGATGGCCGGCACGGCCGCGCTGGAGAACCTCTTCTTCTCCGCCGTGCTGCTGGGCTGGGGGTCGCTGCTCATCATGCTGAAGCGGGAGGGCTTCTATTCCAGCCTGTGCCCGGGTAGGTATGGAACGCGGCGGGCAGCGGCGCTGGGCCTGGGCAGCAGGGCGCGGGTAGCGTCCTGTCCACGCTCAGCCTGCACGGGGGCGTCCTGTGGGCCCCCAGATCCTGCGGTGAGAGCTGGAGCTGTAACCCCGACAGCCTCCAGTCTCACACGGGGTGTGGACTCCTAGGAGAGCTGCACCTACGCGGGCTCTGGCATTCCCAGCACTGGGGAGGCTGAGGCAGGAGGATTGAAAGTCCAAGGGCAGGCCAGGCTACATACTGAGACCCTGACTCAAAAACCAAGAACCAGAACAAAACAGAAGCGGGGCCCCTCACTGGGCGAGGAGCTTGCTTGCTTGTTTTTTCTTTTTTTGCCGTGCTGGAGCTGAGCCACACCCCCAGCCTAGGGATTAAGAAATGGGGCGCTTTTGCAGCGCCCCCATGGTGGAGCGTGCGGGCCTGTGCTCTGCCGGCCGCGGGGTCGCTCGTGTGCACCACGTTAAAGCCCGCTTTCCTCCAGGCTGGGTAGGGGAAGGGCTGCAATTTCCTTCCAGTGGCCTTGGCTGGGAGTTGGAGGGAGTGGGGTGTGAACTCCCTGGGGCCACCACCGCCAGCGCTGCAGGGAGTCCCCGCTGTCCCAGACTCCTGGCTCCCGGCTGGGTGCTTCCCGGGAGAAGGGCAAGAGCAGCCCGCTCAGTGAGGAGCCTGAAGGCTGTGCACCTGGCCCCTCCCCCGCCCCCTGCTCCTAGCCTCCCTGTCCTGGAGCGGGCTTGGAAGGGAGTTGAGCTGGGACCTGCCCCCCCCCCCCGCGTCCCCAAGCCAGCAGTCAGCAGTGTGTCCCTTCCCAGGGTGCTGGGCTTCAGTACTCGTAGAGCGGGGCCCAGTGTCATAAGTGCCCTGGCTGGGCAGTCCAAGCGTCCTGGCCTCACAGCTGGGGCGCAGCTGTGGGAGAAAACCAGTTGCCCAGGCTGGCTGGGGGGAGGTCTTTCTCACCCTGCACCTGGCCTGCCAGGGTTATCTGTGGGGAGGCGACAGGTGGCAGGGAGAGATAGGGTCCTGCCCACGCCCGCTGGCTGAAATCACAAAATCTCAGGGCGGGGCAGCCTAGCAAGGCCCGGCAGTGGCCGGAGGCAATGCCTGAAGCAAGGTGATAGGGCCGCGTGGGGCTGGGACCCCCGGGAGGCGGGAGGCCCAGTGCTGTGTCCTGCTGTCCCTGGGAAGGACCCGCCGCCTCTGCTGCCCGGGCGCTTGCTCCTCCCTGCCTTCTCCGGAGGTGGGGTTTCTCCAACTGGCTTCTCTGAAGATGAAATTATATCCTCTGTTTTGAGGAGGGCTGACGAATCCACACACCCGGGGACCATGACTGACTGTGTCACTGCTTACGATGGTTCTGTGGGTCCCCCAAACTCCTACCTCCCCTTTAAGGGCCCATCCCTTCACCTGTGCTTTTGAAAAACACGCTCAACAACTTCATATTTTTATTCATTATTTATTTAGTTATTTTGGAGACAAGGTCTCGCTATGCAGTTCAAGCTGGCCTTGAACTCACTACTTAGCCCAGGCTGGCCTTGAACTCACTGCAGTTCTCCTGCCTCAGCCTCCCGAGTGCTGGGATTACACCATCACATCTGGCTAACTTTTAAAAATTTTATTTATACTTAGGTTTTGTACTTTCAAGGCCTTTGCACTAAGCTACATTCCCTATCTTTTATTCTGACACAGGTCTGGCCAAGTGACTGAACTACCCAGGCTGGGCTCTAACTTTCTGTCCCCCTAGCCTCCCCCAAGCCTGGCAGTTGTGTCTCTTTTGGTACTGATCTGCATTTCCCCTGGGGCGTCTTTTCATCCGCTTTGTGGCCCTCGGTAATGTCCTTGACTGTTCATATCCTCTGTCCATTTTTCAGTGAGTCGTTTGCCTTATTCTTTTTTTTTGGTATCGGGGATTGAACTCGGGTCCTTGTGCTTGTACAGCAGGCGGTGAAACTACTGAGCTAAATCCCCGGCCCGTTTGCCTTATTCTTATTATTTTCCCTTTCTCTATTTTGGGAGCTGGGGGTTGAACCCCGGGCCATGAGCCTGCTCGGCACTGCTTGCCACTGTGCCAAACCTGTCCTTTTATCACTGAATTTCGGGAGTTCGTCATGTTCCGGACACGAGGCCCTCAGATGCCGGATGTGCGGGCTTGTCTCAAGGCCGATGTTGCTTCCCTGTCTCCACGTTGTCTTGGTCCCTGACAGTTTCCGAGCACTGGTGGAGTCCAGTGGATCCACCTCCCCCTGGCCACTCCATCTCCGTGCGAGTTTCAGGCCATGGCCTGGTCTGAGGTGGCCGAGGCTGCTCTGGGTCCTCATAGTCCCGTGGGCTCTGCTGTCCCGTAGGCCCTGGGTCTGCCGGCATCCTGGGTGTGTCCTGGGTCTGTCTCTACAGTCTGCGGTGTGCGTTTCCTTCCACCCGGGACCTGCAGTGGCCCCAGTGCCCTCGGGTACCAGTTGGGCTCTTTGGGCTCATGGGAGGCAACCCGGATGCACCCTCCTCCGCTGTCTGTTCTTGGACCTGGGAGAGGCGAGCATCCTCCCCCTCCGTCAGGGCGTCTGGGGGGCCCCAGTGCCATCCCTGTCCCTGTTGTGTCCCCGCTGTGCTGCCTAAGCACAGGCGCTTCTTGGAGCAGTTGTGCAGTGGCCCATTAGAGCAGGAATTAGAGCAGGAATCCTGTCCCGGGATTGGTGGTTTGGCTCCTGCTCAGGTGTGTTCGGGTCTCGAGACCTGAACCACTTAGCAGGCGTGGTGCAGGGACCCCTGGTCCCCCGCCCAGGGCTCCCGGGCTGCCGGTTGGGGGATGCTGTTCTGGCCCAGCACCCTCTGGAGCTCTGTGACTCCAAGTCTGTGAAACGGAGTGGACAGTTGTCACCTCACTGCTGCAGAACCAGGAGAGGGAGTCCAGTGATGTCACCTAACAACTATTAAAGGGCTCAGAAACATGGAACGTACTGTTGGGGTTGTCATCCGAGTGGGTAGGGGTTCTCTGGCCAGCCCCTATGTCTCAGCTGATTACTGGCTACTGCACGGTGGATCAAGCAGTCCCTGGAGTTCACCAGGTGATTGCTGGTTTCTGGTGAGAGCCGAGTCCTCACTGCCCCTCTGGGATGGCTTCCTAACAGCTCCACCCTGCAGAGGGGTGACCCACAGCTCCGAGCTTGCCCCCGAAGATGCCCGACTGGACTGGGGAGGAGCAGAGGGAGGGAGGGGCTTGCTAGGGCTGCTGAGGCTGTGCCGGGCCACTCGGGCCGCAGCAAGCCATTCCAGGGTTCTGAGTGTCAGGTCAGGGCCAAGGAGACCGCAAGAGGGGCGAGCAGACCCGTGTGCACGCGGGGCTCCCCGGAGCTGGCCCCCTGAGGCAGAGCGTGCTGTCCCCTCTGCAGACGGTGACAGAGCCCCAGTTTCCCTGGCTGTGCTCCAGGAACCAGGGTTTGACTCCAGGTGGCCGCTTAGCTGGGATCCACTTCCCGGGTCTCTCAGACCTGCTCCTTTGCAGCCGCCTTCTCGATGTCACCGTTTCCGTGTGCACAGGTGCTGTTGTTAAAGTGCAGTAGCCTTGAGATCTTGGGTTTGACGCTAGATGCACACGTCTACATTTCCCTGCGTCCTTCTAATAGTCACTCACATAACCACACACCACCCAAGCCTGCTGGGCCGGCTTCCCTGCCTCCACGTCCGCCTCAGCGCTAACTCACTGACTGTGTCGCCCGTCATTCGTGAACGCCTCTCCCAGGAGGGACCCCGTGGAGATACCTGTTTTCATTCCTTATCTCCAACCGCAGATGAGATTAAAGCCTTAAAATGAGATTAAAGTTCACTTAGCGGCAGTGAGTGGAGAAACAGATGTCTGGGTCTTTAGAGCCCACCCTTCGGGGGTGGGGGTGTCAGAAGAAACACAAGTGAAGGGGAGGGCATCTCACTAAGTTGCCCAGGCAGGACTTCAACTTGCAGTCCTCCAACCTCAGCCTCCCGGAGTGCTGGGATGACAGGCGTGCGCCTGATTTCTTTTTGTTCATTTCACTTTTGGAGCTGTCATCATGACAGTGTGTGTGTCATTTAGCACGCAGAGGGGTTACATGACGTGAGAGGTCATCTGGAGGTCGCTCTGTGGTAGCCAGCTGGCTTTGGCTAGCCCACTGGAAGGAGAAATTTTGGCCTTGGACATCCTGTCTTCTGCAATAAACAAGACGCAGGCGGGTGGAAACCCTACTGGGTCACAGACACACCCTCCCCGCCCCTCCTCCCCATGCCGAGGGCCAGGGCTGGAGGCCCAGTGGCTTTGCTCCCTGGGCCGATCAGCTGTCAGGTGACCATTATTTTCCTCTTATTTGCAGAATTAGGGATGGAATCACCCAGGGGCTCTGCACTGAGCTACATCCACAAATCTTTTTACATTTTTTCATTTTGAGACAGGGTCTAAATTGATTTATTGCCCAAGTTGGACGTAAACTTGTGATCCTCCTGCCTCAGTCTCCCCAGAGTGTGAGATACAGGTACACTGTGCCATGCCTGGTTTATATTCACATTTTAGGGTGTGGTGAGAACTAAATGAGATTCCCCATGGAAAAGGCCAGCTAGTGGGAGGCTGTCATTTGATTGTGAGAGACTTAGGGGGAGGGATAATTCAAATTCAGTGACCGAGAATTCAACCTGCAGGGTCCTTTAGGACAACTGGACATAAAGGGACTGTTTTAACTTGGTAAATACTTTGATGTCCATTATCTCATTTGAGCTAGGTTGTTTTGTTTTGATACTGGGATTGAACCCGGGGCCTTCACCCTGAGCTACTTCCCCAGCTCTTTTTTAAAAGTTTTTATTTTGAGACAGGGTCTCACTGAATTGCTAAAGTATCCAGGCTGGGCTGGAAATTGTGATCCTCCTGCCTCAGCCTCCCAGAAGGCTGGGACTAAAGGTGCGTGCCACCACACCCGGGTCTCCTTTGGGGCAGTCGAGCCTCAGGCTGAGGGTGTATGTGACCCTCCTGTGTACGGAACACCCCCACATCCACCCGATCAGAGGCTGGGGTTTGACCCAGGACCCCAAGCCAGCTGCTGTCCCGTGCCCAGCGCCTCCTTTGCCCTGTGTTGACTCCTTCCTCCCCCCCCCCCAGCTGAGAACGGCACCAATGCCACCCAAGGCGAGCGGCAGCACTGGCCCAGCTGTGACCAGCAGGACGAGATGCTCAACCTGGGCTTCACCGTGGGCTCCTTCCTGCTGAGCGCTACCACGCTGCCCCTGGGCATCCTCATGGACCGCTTCGGCCCGCGGCCCCTGCGGATGGTGGGCAGGTGAGGCTGCTGGGCGGGAGGCTGGGGCGCTGCGGGGCGGCGGGGGTCTTGGGTCAGCACCACCCCTGTGTCCCCGCAGTGCCTGCTTCACGGCGTCCTGCACCCTCGTGGCCGTGGCCACCCAGGACACCGAAGGTGAGCGCCGGCCCCCGCTCGATGAGATGGGTGGGGGCTCCCGGTGACCCCGGGCCCACGCCTCCGCTGTCCTCCCCCTCCCAGCCCTGTCCCCGCTCATCTTCCTGGTGCTGTCCCTGAACGGCTTCGCTGGCATCTGCCTCACCTTCACGTCGCTCACGGTGAGTGGGGCCCGAGCAGCTGCGTGGCCGGGAAGGCAGGGGGTGCGGGAGGCCCCGTGGGCGCAAGGGGCAGCGAGACCCGCGTGGCAGCCAGGCAGGGGAGGCTGTGCCTGCGTGGACGAGGCTGCAATGCGCGCGTGCGTGTGTGTGCGCCCACACGCTGGGCCTGTGCGTGCCCAGGCACTGGGGCTGCGCGGGGCGAACGGGTCCTTCTCCCTCACCTTGCACGAGAGAACCGGGAGCGAGCGGGTGTGTGGCGCTGCCTGCCTGAGACAGACGCGGCCCACCAGGTGTGAGGTGCGCGTGTCAGCGTGTGCTTACGCGCGTGCAAGGTGAGGCTGGGGCGCGGGGTGGGAGGATGGTCCCTGTCCCTGCTCGGTGTTGTTTACCAAACTGGGCGTCTGGCTGAACCTCTCACCCCAGCAGCCGCCTCTCACTCCACGGGACATTTCACAACTCTGAGGAAGCGGCTCCCGGCACCCCGCCCCTCTCCGCGGCTGCCTCAGGCTGTGCAACTTGGCTCAGCTCCCCAAATCCTTTCTCCCAGGCTGGAGGCGTGACCTCCGGCTCCGCCCACCACTGTAGTCTCCAGCCAACCGTAGGTCTCCGTGGCAGACTCCTCTGGCCCCACCCTTGTCCCCGCCCACCTCTTTAGGCCACCCCTCCGCTGTCAGCTCCACCCCCAGGGCTGTAATCTCCAGCCAATGGTAAGGCCTGGTGCTGGCCCCGCCAACCCCACCCCTCGGAGGCCCTGCCCCCCTGCTGACATTCCCCCCTTCC